ATCTGAAGATTTGACTCCAGAGTGCAAGCTCTTTACTGCCTGTGGACAAATCTTGAGACTCCCTAGCTCCTGTGGGGAGCCATCCCCTGACTTTTCATGGGGGGCAGGTGACCCTGCCTACTCTGCTCCGGAGCTGAAAGATCAGGCCCAGCCTGGCCTCTCACTTGCCAGAGCCTCGCTGCTCTGTCCTGAGGGCCATGAGCACCTTCGCCTTCCACACAAAGGGTTAAGGGCCAGCTTTCTCCCCTAGACCACCCAGCCCGGCTTAGGGCCCCATCCAGAGTGCTCCCGGCTCCCCCCTCTTTCCCGCTCACACCAGTGGTCTTCTGCCTCAGGCAAGATTCAGTGCCTTCGCTTTGGAGCTAAGCAGATTTGAATCTGCCACTTAACACCGGTGACATCTTGGACAAGTCACATCACCCCTCCCCAACCTGCTTCTCATTTATGTAGAGATAATGTAGATAAGAATAGAACTCACTTCAAAGGATTGTTATTAAGATTAATAAGAACAGTGAATAGTCTGTCAAGTTATCCTAGATGTCGAGAGTCCTCGGAGGCCTCCCCCAGGCTCAGCAGCACCCCGAGAGGGCACGTGACCTGCCACAATGCACAGAGAACCCAGCCCTGTTTGCAGGGCCAGGTCAGCCTCAAAGGAGCCATGGCCAAACACCAAGTGCATCTCCAGGGCTCCCCCAAGCACATGGGGGGGATGTGGGATCCTGATAAGGGCACAGGTCCACCTGGACATCAGAAGATGGCGTGAATCAAGAGGTCACAGAGTGTAGGCAGGGCTCAAACAGCCAAGTGCAGACAGAGGTGGTCACAGCCACGGCCAGGGCATTTCTCCGGGGAAGGGTCCTGAGCTGAGATGGGGAATCCCAGCAGGGGACGGTGGGGAGGAGGCTGGAAGGGTAAGGAGGCAGGGCTAGGCTCCCCCGCCTGCACACTTAGGGACCTGGAAGAGCTCTGCTGGAGGCTGAGGGCGCTGGACAGGTGACCTCAGTCTTGTGCAGAATGGCCCTCTGGACTGCGGTGTGGAGAGAGGCTGCTGGGGCCCAGAGAATGTACCCTGAGACCAGCAATGAGCCACCGAAGCTGCCCATGAGAGATGATCAGGCTCCGGCCGGCTAGTGGAGGTCGAATAGTGGGCTGGAGATGGGGCCCTCGGGTCCTCAGTTGTGGCAACCCCAGAATGGGAAGTCTGGAGGATGGAAGCAGAGATGCAGCTCAGGTTTCTCATTTGTGCAGCTGGGGGAGCCTGGAGGTGAGGGCACGGGAGTAGGTGGAGTTTGGGGTGGGCTGGAGGGGGGTGAATGGAGGGGTGGGCTGGGAGAGTTTCAGGGGGGTGGTGAGTGGGAGAAGGCAGTGGGCCAGGTGAAGGAGGCCTCATTGGAGGCACTGGCTTTGTTTTTAAGGACAAGAAAGGCTTGAACTCGAAGGATGGAGCAGCCTGTCCTCCCACCCAGGCATCCTTCCGTTCTACTCTGGACTTACCAGCAATTCCAAAACCATGGAAGTGATGGATTGTGTGTAAACAGGACGAAGCAATTAGTCTGTGCATGCCCGGCCATTAATGAGCCTCTTATGTATTTATAACAACACCTCACTTACCCTCCAACCTGAGAACAAATATCCTGAGAACGAATATCGCGAGAACAGCCAGGAGTCCGCAGAGGAGCCCTCTGGGCAGCTCCCCCACTGACCACGAATGCACGCACTTGACTTGTGGGGAAATCCTCGCTCCGGACCGGCGGATTCCTGCTTTACGTGCAATTTCAACCCGCAATAACTTCTCTTAAACAGTCCACAGATGAAAAACAGCAATTTAGGAAGCAGTTGGACCCTGTCAGAAGCAGGAACCCTGCGGTACAAAGGAGAGGCAGCTGACAGCCTGACAGAGACCCAGCATCCTGCGGCCCCGAGGGCACCTCGGTCCCACACTGCCCACAGCGGTGGCTCACGCTAACCCCTCGGTGCTTTTCCGCCTCCAGTCAGTGATTCTTTGTTCCGAGTGATGACTGCACCACGGAGAAAGGGCTAAATTAAATTCAGCATTCTATGCTTAAGACTGACTTTAAATATATATTTTTTTAAATTGTAAATTTGATGTTAAGCTTGGCGCTACAGTTTCTGTAACATTCCCTTCCGTGGGAAGGGATTTGGTAATTGCCTATTTATCTGCTTCCTGGTTAGACTGAAGCTCTGTGAGAAGGGCTGGGTCTGGGATGTCTACCACCTCCTGTCGGAGCGGGGCTCAGCGCCAGAGGAGGGGCCGGCTGGGCTCCCGGAATTAGTGGGCTGATTAATAAATTAGTACTACATAGCAGGCAACACTCAGTCAACAAATACATTCTTACATTTCATTTCACTATTTCATTTTACTTTTTAATGTGGAACTAGAAAAAAAATCAGCTTACGTATGTGACACACATTACGCTTGCATCCATTTTCGATGCTCCAGTGCAGGGTTCGGAGGTGGGAAACAGGGTTTAAATATAGTGTCCGAGGTCTCGGTGAAAGTCTCCTGGGGGAGCATAAGCCACATCCTCACGCTGGCCAAGGCGCTGCCTCCTCCAGCCTGGGCTGCCTCGAGTGTAAGGTTGTGTCTTACTATCTGGGAACACAGCACCTGCCCAGCACGGTGCCTGTGCAGTACAGCCCCGCTGCGATGTGGAAAATAGCTGCGTGGGCATGTCACAGATGGGAAACTGAGGCCCCAGTGGGGAAAGGGACATGCCTCCCAGGAGGAATCCAGGCTCTTTCTAAAATCTCCACCAGCTCTGTCGCCCTCCAGGTAAAGGGCAGGGGAGAGAGATTTACATGCAAATGTAGGGACACCCCTTTATCCCTCCCATGACCAAGCCAGCTTTGTGGAGTGGATGGGGGTTTCTCCGTGGGAGTCCAGGCTCTGCTCTGAGAGCGCTGGGGGCAAAAAAGACATCCAGGGCCTGGGAAGGGGGCAGGGACAGGACTCCAGGATGGGGGAGACTTAACCATCCACCAATACCCCCCATCTTTCACACCCATCTTTTGCTTGTGCCTGGAATGGTGCACGCTCGGGGCACTGGGCAGCGCGAGCCTCCTCATCTTAGGTCTGTAAGTACCGTGCCCCGAAAGCTCACTCAGGCCCCACAGCAAGCTGTGGTGGTGACACTATCATTTTATAGCTGAGGGATTGAAGCTCCCCTAACTGCAGTGTCACACGGGGTGTATGTTCCCACTGGTGCCCGGGATGCCCCTCAGAGTGACCCCCAGCCCTGGACTTCTCAGCCTGGAGAACCTTGCAGCGTGAGCTGGCGTCCCACAGTGTGGCGTCCCACTCACAGATGGCCCATGCTGGTGTCTGAATGTTCACATTAGCTGTCACCTGTAAAAGTCAGGAGACACAATGAAAACATTCTAGATTCCCAACTGTTCTTAAAAATGCAGAAAGTGGGTTGGGGATTTTGCTCAGGGGCATAAGCGCCTGCATTGCAAGTGTGTGGTCATGAGTTCAATCCCTGGTACTGGTAAAAAAAAAAAAAGCAGAAAATTAGGCAGGCTGGAGCCCAGACCCTCTCCTGGCAGGCTTCTAGAGGGTGCTTTTCTGACTCATGTGGGTGTTTGCCACTCGGTGCCTACTTGAATCTTCTCCTTATACCTAACCCTGCCCCTTTTACAGTAACCCTGAACAGAGCTCCAGCTACCGTGTTTGGTAGCAGGAGGCTCACTACATTTCCGAGAAAGTCTGAACCGCCAGAAAGGGGCTCCTAGAGGCAGCTGCCTTCCCCCTTTTTGTGATAAGCAAAGATGCAGTGGAAAGGAACAGGCTTTGGAGCTGAGCAGGTCTGGCCCTGAGCACCTCTGACTGTACGACCCAAGCCAGCGATAGCTGAGTGTCATCTTCCTTAGCCGCTCATTCCCTGCAGAGTTGTGTGTGTGACACTTACACTACAGCAGGTGTGTGGATCACCCAGAGCAGAGTGTGCCACGTGTTCTCTGAATAGCCTTCATCACTTGATGTCACCTCCAGCCCTAGGCTCCCGGGAGCTCTCACCCCAGGAGCTGGGAGTGGGCTGGGGCAGAGGGGATCTGGAGGCGGTCAAGGCCTTACCCCTTCCCTCAGGGCATCTACTCCTCAACGTGTTGGCTCATGGATGTCCAGATGCTTAAAGGCGGCCCACAGGAGGGAGCCCTACATCCCTGTCCTGGGCCACAGCCTTCCCCAAATGAGACCCTATTTGTGGAGGTGGAACAGGACCTGGGGAAAGTCAGGGTAGCAAAAAGCAAGAAATGAGCCTCACCCTGCAGTGCACCTGCCACTGACTACCGCTTGGCTGGGTGCCCGCCACCAAGGTAAGCGCTTTCCTGGCCTTTCACTGAATTCTCACAGCAGCGCTTGGAGACAGGACTTCACAGATACGGAAGCTGAGGCTCGGAGCGGTTAAGGCGCTTGCACAAGGCCACACTGCTAGGACTTCCAGCTTGTCTGGTCGGTGAGTGAGCGCACAGGATCACTGCGCTCCAGGGCTCCTTGATCCCTGGTGCGGGTTTAGGGTTAGGTCCTGGGGCGGGGGAGGGACAGAGCCGTTTTAACCAACAGCGCCCCTGAGCCCAAGCCTCCCTGCGTCTGGCCTGGGTGCTAAACTGGCGTGTGCACGTGCGACTGTCACCTAGCAGGCATTCTGTGTGCCCGCGGGTCACGCGTGGAAGACTGCGCGTGCCGCCGGCCTCCGGGGAATCCCCCGTGGGCCCCGGATCCACGTGCGCACCGCGGGCGCGCGCCACCCTGAAGTACGAGCGGCGAGTGTGAGCGTGCGCACGTGCGGCGACGGCCCCGGGCCGGTGTCGGCGGAGCGGGCCCGCGTCCCCGCCTCGGTGCTGATTGGCTCGGCGCCGTGACGGGGCGCGGCGGGCGCGGGTGCCCGCGTGTGGCTGCGAGCCGGCGTGTGCGCCGGGTGTGCGCCGGCCGCCGGCTGCGGGGAGAGCGGGGAGCGCGCCGCCGCGGCCGAGCCCGAGCCCGAGGTGCGCGGCGCCCGCCCCGGCCATGGCCCCCGCCCGGGGCCGCCTGCCCTCCGCGCTCTGGGTCGTCACGGCCGCGGCGGCGGCGGCCACCTGCGTGTCCGCGGCGCGCGGCGAAGGTGAGCGGCGGCGGCGGCCGCGGGGCGGGGCGGGGGCGGCGAGGCCGGGGCGCGGCGCGCGCTGCCTGCGGCTCAACTTCGTTAGCCTCGACCCCGAGCTTCCTCCCCAGTGAGCACCCAGCCCTCGCCCTGGGGCAGAGGCGGCACCTGGCGGGCTGAGGGGTTGAGGGACAGAGCGATGGGCACGGGGACCCAGGGTGACTGGGGGACAGGGGCACAGGACCGAGGGCTGCGGAGCTGGAGAGAAAACTGAGGAGCCAGCAGGGGAACAGGACTGGACAGAAGACGACGGATATGGAGGGGAGAGGGGACGTGGAGAGAGGGATGGGGACAGAGGACAGAACAGGGTGGCAGTCACTAAGGAACAGAGGGACACGAGAAAGGGGGCAAAGAGGGCTGGAGGTGGAGTCGAGGGTCCAGGAACAAGACCTGCGCTGGGAGAACAGAGAACAGGATGGCTTTGGGGGACGCAGGAGTGAGGGGGCCGGGGAAGAGGGTCTTGGGAGTGGGGTGGAAGGGGACAGACCGAGGGGCCAGAAGCGGGGAGAGGGGGGAAGATGGGACACAGAGGATCTCCCTCCCCTCGGACGGACAAACATGGAGAGAGAGGAGAGGACTGGGCTGCAGGGGGCCTGGGGCAGGCTGCCCAGAGAGCAGTGTCTTGTCTGGGTCAAAGCCAGGGTGGCCCAGTCATTCAGGGGCCTGGGGGAGGTGTGGAGGATTCAGGGAGGGAGTAGGGGTGACTGAGTCCTAGGACCAAAAGTGTCCAGGAGGTGACTTCTGATGGAGAGGAGGGACAAGCAGAGCAGAGAAGGAGCACCTATGGTTCCTACCACCACCCCTTAGCCCCAGTAGGCACCCCAGGGCCAGCCGAGGATGCCACTGGTCCTGCTCCCCACACCCAGCCCCTGGCCTGACCCACAGCACTGCCCAGGAAGTCGGCTTCAGAGCTGTGTGCAGGAAGCCAGGGCTGCTGTCGGAGTCCCGAGCTGGGTTCTCACTGGTAGCAGGGAGCATCCAACCCATGCTGCTCTTCCAGCATCAGACTGCAGATCCTGCCTCACAGACAGCCCTGGGAGCTCCCGCCCTGCCCGCAGGCACACACAGGGACACACAGGCTTGTCAGGGTTCATGAGCATAGACAGGGGCCGGTGGAAACTCAGGTTTGTACAGTGCGATCCCCATCACACCTCCACGCATAGGTGCAGCAAGGTGGCCAGTGCACATGTGCACAGATCCACACGTCCATACATGCCCAGATGCATGAACATGCATCCGTGTAGGCATAGATGTGTTGCACCATGTTTATTAGGAGACCTGCAAACTTGCATTCATGCCCATAGAAATGCATGTGCACACTTGTAGTACGGATAAAATCATCACAGTCCTCAGGCCACCAGGGATTGGGGGCTGTTGCAAGGTAGCTGAGAGGCAAGCTCACAGGTGGGCAGGGCAGGACTGGTGGGTAGTGGTGAGGCCCAGTTCCTTGAGTACCAGAAGAGACCTGGGTGAGGGCAGGTGGTCTGCAAAATTGGGTGGGGGAGTGGTCAGTTTTTGGTCCAGTAGAATTCTGAAACCCACAGCAAGGCTCTGGGAGCCCAGCAGTGCACCCCGATTCCTTGTCTCAATGCTTCTCTTTGGGAAAGAGCCAGTACCTTCCCAGAATCCCAGCTGCAAGTCCCAGGCTCTCTGGGGAGGTGACTTTTTCCGGGCTCCCATGCTAAGCACAGAGCACGGGCCTGGTGGGGATTTGTCCAGGGGATGGGCTGTATTTGGTGACGAGGCAAGGTCTGGCAGGAGGCAGGCAGGAAGTCTGGGGAGAGGGGAGACATTGCCCAAGGGCTGGCTCCATGCACTGGTCCCATGTGGGACATCCCAGGTCCTTTCTGGCATTGTCTCTGGATTGGTACAGAAGCAGAGCTGGCCAGGGACACTGTTGGAAATCAGGGAGGAGTCTGGTCTCAGCTGGGGTCCAACAGAGGTCACAGTGCACAGCTTGCCCAAGTTCCCCAATGCCAGGTTGCTCACAGTGGCCCTGATGGGGTCACCGTGGGCTGGGAAGGGGTCCTGCACCTCCAGAGATGCCCTGGGTCCCATCAGGCTCACAGATCCTTATTGTTTTCTGGGGTGTTCTGTCCTCTAATTTGAGGTGATTTCCAAGGCACTGGCATGCTGGCTGACATCCCCTGGCCACCCCGAATTCTCCAGCCTCGCCATCATGCGCTGTGTCCTCGGGGAATGTAAATCAATTTAAGTATTAGTCTCAGTGAAATGGAATGGGAGAAGGTGACGGCGGTGCAGAAAGAAAGAAATCGCATAATGCCTTCCACAGTCAAACAAGGACGGCTTAGGAATTATCTGTGCTGCTCAGAGCAAGAGAGGGACTCGTTTGGCGCCCCCCAGCACAGCCCAGGCAGGCAGGCCTAGGACGCATGCCTGGGGGCATCTTTCAGATGGGGAAACCGAGGCTTGGTGGGGTTCTGGGGTTCAGTGATGTGTTTCATTGAAGGGCCCCAAGAGATCACGGCATCCTGTCCTCCTGTTTTGCAAGTAAGGGGCAAGTCTAGAGAGGGGGATTGACAAAAGGCAGGAGAGTGGCTGGCGGTAGTGACCAGACTGTCTGAAGTCCCAAGGGGACCCAGCCCCAGGCCAGGCAGGCCTAAGCTGAATGCTGTGTGGCCTTATAAACCTTCTGGCAACCCAGGGCTTCCCTGGAGAAACACCCCTCACTACCCCTGGGGAAGGGGCCACGATGTGTCCAGGCATGGGAGGGAGGGACGAAGAGGGCGGGGACAGGAAGGGTCCAGGAGGAACTGGAACAAACAGCCCTGAAATCCTATAGCCCTTCCCCACGCCAGGGAAATCGACGTTTGACTTATCTCTGGATTATCGGAACCCCCTAGCCTGCCGATGGAGAGTTGGCCACAGATGTGACAGAGCTTCCTGGAGGAGGAAAGAGCCCTGCTGGTGGAGGCCCCCAAATTGGGGTTTTCCAGGGTTGAATCGGAAATGACAGGTGTTAACTGAGGCTGCTCCCTGGTAGGGGCAGGCCTGAGCTGGGTTTGTTCCGTGCCAGGAGAAGGGGCCCTCCGGCCCTGAGACCCACATCAGGGATGTGGCTTGGGCTTGGGAGCCCATGGTGCCCACTGTCCAGCTTGGGCCCGCTGGACTGGGGGAAGCTGCAGTGCAGCCCCCTCCCCTCCCCCAGCAGCAGGAGGAGAGCTGCCTGACCCAGATTTCTCAACAGTGCCTGCCGGGGAGGGAGGGAGGGAGGTGGGAAGCCTTCTCCTCCCTGCTTGTGCCCCTAGCGTGGGGTTGGCTCAAGCAGGGGGCCTCCCTGGTGGACATTCACTCCACCCTCTGATCTCACCTGGCCCTGGGGGACCAGGGAGGAGCACAGAGTCCCTTCCTAGGTGTGCCAACCCCTCTCCAGCTGGCATCCAGGGTCTCTGACAATGGGTTGGGAGGGTAGGAGGAAGGAAGGAAAAAATCTGCAAACAAGAGCATTGTCACCCCAGATGTGCCTGAGGACACTTGTCTCCATCTCCCAGAGGGAGGCTCTGAGCTATGCACATCTCAGGGAGGACACCCAGCCTCCGGTGGGAAGGTTCCAAGAGGACCTGCTGAGCTAACCTTCTGTGACTTGCCCATGGCCGCTGATTGGGGTGCTTGGGAGCCCCAGCATTGTTTCTGGGAGGGGAGATTCATGGAAGAGAGAAAACCAGAAAGCCTGTCATGCAGTCAGCAGATTGAAAGGAAGCAGGGGCCCAGAGGTAAAGGATCTTACCCACAGACAGAGAGCAGGCAGAGCCAGTGCTGACACTGGGGCCTTGTTTTCTAAAGAGGTAGTGTAGCTTTATCTGCGTGAGCAGTTAGGCACAAGCAACATGGAGAGAGGCCAGAAGGGTGGGAAGTAAAGGAAACTAGCACTGATGGCAACCAGGCTTTATAGATGGCCTCTTAACCGTCATCTAAACCCTTAAGTATTAACCCACTTTACAGGTGAGGAAACTGAGGGTCACTTGCTAATAAGTGTCTGTGTTGAGATAAGAACTCAAGAGTGTCTGACTCTTTCTCAGCTTCATTGTTGAAACTTCAGGGGCCTTGACTGTGGGGCCTCACTAGGAATAGGCCTGCTGTTTGGACTAGCGCTCTTCAGGCAGGGTGAACTCCCCAGAGATGCCACTTTTCAGGCCCAACCTTCCAGGTGGGCAGTGATATATGTGGGTGCCACAGCAGGTGCTCAGAGCACCAGTCTTGCACCTGTGGGCTTCGAGGCAACCCCTGCACCTCTCGGCTCAGCTGTTTCACCCATTTAATAGAAATGGTAGTGCCACTTCTGTCATTGTAAGGGTCACAGAGTGTACCCAGAGATCCTCTTGCAGAGCCTAGCATGCGGTAGGTGTGCGCTAGAGGCAGCTCTTGTCTTTCTAGATCCTTCCACATCTCTGTGCTTAGTAGGTGCAAGGCACCACCAGGGGGTCAGAGAGGATCCTATAGCAAAGCACTGGAATGCCATTCGGCCACTTAAGAGAGACGAGTCAGGTCATCCTCATGGCCCCAGGAGACAGGGACCACGCTCAGGGGAGGAAACAGAGCTCGGCATGTGAAGCCCCACACCACACAGCTCCCGTGTAGCTCCTGTGTGGGGTTCTGCAGCCCAGCCCAGAAGCCTGAGTCTGGGCAGCTTTATCCTGGTGGGTGGAGGAGGCGGGGCCAAGTAAGACTCCCTCTCCTGGCAGCAGGTTAGTGAGCTGCTGTGTTGGGGGCTGGGCACAGACCCACGCGGTGGCCTGAGCTGTCCCTGTGGGCTGGGAAGAGGGTTGCATGGCCTGACGCCCTCCTGTCTCCTCTTTTACAGTGAACTTGTTGGACACATCGACCATCCATGGAGACTGGGGCTGGCTCACGTATCCGGCTCATGGGGTGAGTGAGGGGACAGCGTCACACCTCTGTGAGCTGACAGAAGCTCCACTTCAGAGTCTTAGCATCAGGTAGATCCAAAAAAGTAGAGGCCCAGAGAAGTGAAGGAACTGACCCAGAGACGCACAGCAACTGGGGACAGAGAGGCTGCTTTCTTAAAAGTTAGTGCACCTTGACCTTTGGGATTACAAAGCCATTTCTGGCTTTGAGGTCCCGATTTGTGTCTGAGACCCAAGATGCAGAATCTTCATGTCTGTAGCTTGGGCTTGCAGATTCTTGACCTGCTAAGGCCAGGCCCAGGGTCACGTGGGACAGGGAAGTGGGGTCAGCAAAGCCCTAGCCGGGCGTGGTCTCCCATCCAGCTGCCATGCCCTCCCCAGAAGCTGCTTGGGCCTCTCCAGGCCTGCATATTTCTCTCGCTGTCAGGACCCCCATGGACAGGCTTCCCAGTCCCATCGGGTCCAGGCCACCAGGTCCCTGTGGCTCCTGTGCTCACTGAGATGCCCCTCCCATTCTTGGGGGGACGGGGCTCCAGGGAGGGGGTTGCATGCTCCACATCCTCTGCTTCTCTTTTCCAATACTATGGCCCCCGTAGCAGAGCCTGGTGAGCTGCACCAGGGGCCCAGGACTTCTTCACTTCCCGTCCCGTCTGTAGAGAGGAACAAGCTTGTGAGGACGCCTGGGGTGCTGGAGGTGAGGGGGACTCCCACCTCGGCACCGCGCTTACACACAGTGAACCCCACTGGGCAGAGGCCCCATCACTGGTAATGTTGGTGTGTGTGACGGTTATTATGTCATGCACGTGTCGCCCCACCACATCCCGGCCCCGGCACCGATGTGAGCCCGTCGAGCACACTGACTTCTTTCAGACGCGTCCAGCTTCCGTGGACTGAGGACAGGACAGTAATGCTAGCAGCAGTAATGATGTGGATGCCAAGAGCTGATGCCTATGAAGGGAATCTTTCTTGACTTGGGGTAATTTTCAGCTGGGCTGGAGCTCAGGACAGAGTCCTGCTCTCCTCTCTCTGGGGGTCTCATTAGCAGGCAGCAGTGAGCTGAGCCCCATCACCACCCCCTGTGCATAGTGCTCTGGGAGCCAGCAGGGTCCAGTGGGTGCTGAATTTACAGGTCCAAGAGCCAGGAGGGCACCTCCTCTCACCTTCCAGCAAGTGGACCTGTGTGGGCCAGTCCTGCCTGAGGACAGAGGCGGGGCCCTGGGGCTGGGTGTCTCTTCCTCTGTGAAACTCTTCTCCACGGCTGTCCCCAGGGATCAGGGGGACTAGAAGAAAGGCTTTGGCAATGTAAGCTGTTGTGGCCAGTGACAGGGGCCAGCCCACATGCTGAGATTCAGAACAGTGAGAAATCCTGCCCTTCACTAGGCTTCAGTGACGGGGAGCTGGGCTCCAGCCTGCCTGGGTCGCCTCTCCACCTTGTAAGTGCGGGTGGCAGGGTCCAGTCTGTGGCCTCACTCAGGGGATGGGCCAGGCTGTGGGGACCGGTGTTGCTCATGGAAGAAAGGAGGCTGCAGTCTGAGGCCTGGTCCCCAAGCCAGGCTCACAGGAGAAATGCGCAGGTGTCCCTGCCCAGGAAGTCAGGGAGGAGCCCGGGAGTCTTGTGTTTAATACATTTTCCAAGTGATTCTTCTGCCCAGCCTGGAGGAGAATCTTCGGTCCTCAAGGCTCTGTGTGCCCCACTGATTCTGCAGTCTGCCCTGCAGTCTGGGTTCAGAGGTCATCAGGGCTGATTACAGTATCACACGATGCCCAGACTGAAGGGCAAGGATTCTGGGCTCCAATGGCCAGTGCCCAGCTTGCTGATGTCAGTGCGTTTCAGGCCAGCCACTGATCTTGCTTCGACCCCCTTTTATACCATCACAGAACCTACAGCCGTCACGGGGTGATTCACAGAAGGAACACTTTACAATAAAGTCCCTGCGAGGTTAAGCCACTCTGGCATCAGGGGAGGCTGGGGCCAGAACCTATGTGCTTAGCCACAGTGTCCCTCCCTGTTCCCAGAACCTCCATCCACCAGGTGCCTGCTCCTTGCCTGACAAATCGGCAGCTACTAAGGTTTGGGCCATGGTCAACCTGATCTGTGCTGCCTCTTGGAGCAGACAGAAGGAGCAGGCAAAGAAATAAACAGAAGGAACAGGTATTAGCCAACCCATTTCACAGATGAGAATAGAGAGAAGTCACCTACTCAAGGTCACACAGCTAGCTTGCCAAATCCTGTTCCAGGAAGACAGGGTTGGGGGAAGAGTGTTCCAGGGTCAGCTGCTGGGTCTCAAGGGGCAGTGGGGGTGGGACTGGCATTTGTATGGAGTAGGCTGCCACAGTGGTGAGCAGGGTACTTTTGCCCCTTGTGCCAGGCCTCTGGGAATCTGTGCCACTCCAGGCGTCCACAGCAGCTCCCAGGGCTGGCAGGCTGGGCCAGACCGTTGGCACTAGTGGAGAGGCTGGATCGGACTCAGATTGAGCTGATTAATTTATCCAGGGCCCTGGCAGGAAACAGACAGGGAGCAGCTGGCAGGCTCTTTGGTGTTCCATTAATTGTGACAATGACTTTAACCCCAGATGTGGCACACTGCTACCCGGAGGCTCTGGCTGCGGTGTGGGGTGTGGAGGACGGGAAGCATAACCTTGCACAGGCGAGGTGAGGTTGGTGCTCCCGGTGCCTCTCTGGATGAGAACCCCTCCCCCACAGCCCTGGAGGCAGGCGGGTAGCCCGGGAGTCCCTGCCAGTTCAGGAGCACATTCGCTCCCTGATCAAGAAGTGCCTGCCTATGCCAGGCCTGAGCTCAGCCCTCTGCAGGCAACTACTCCCCACGTCATCTCAAGCCTCACAGAGGCAGGGCCTCCTTCTCAGTGGGAGACCTCATGAGGACAAAGGGAAGGACTTGTGACAAGCAGGCAGTGTCCACGGTATAGCTGACCCCAACATCTGTCCTTGGCTCCCCCTTGGGGACCTCTGGACTCAGCCCAGTGTCTGCTCCAGCAGGGCAGCCAAGACGGGCTCTTCCCTCCCATTTTTATTTTTTTTTACCGGTACCGGGGATCGAACCCACGACTCTGCACTTGCAGGGCAGGTGCTTGTGCCGCTGAGCTAAATCCCCAGCCCCTCTTTTATTTTTTTGTTGTTCAGTTGTCCGGCTAGGCTGAAACTTGTGATCCTCCTGCCTTAGCATCCCAAAGCTCTGGGATTAAAGGTTGTGTGCTGCCACACCTGGTACATCTTCACCATTTTTAAGTGGCATTAGATACATTCACCATTGCCACCACCCAGCTCCAGAACTCTTTTTTTGTCCACCACAGAAATTCTGTGCCCGTTAAATAATAATTCCCCCTCCCCCTCCCTGCAGCCCTGGCAACCACCATTTTATTTTCTGTGTGAATCTGACTAACCTAGGTACCTTATATAAGTGGAATTATACAATGTTTGTCCTTCTGTTTCTGGTTTATTTCATTTAGCATAATGTCTTCCAGTTTGATCCAGGTTGTAGGGTATATTAGAATTTCCTTTCTTTATAAGGCCTAATAGCATCCTGCTGTATGTAAAGACTGCATTTTATTTATCCATTTGGGCTGATTCCACATTCTGGCTTTTTAAAATTTTTTTACAATTCAATTTTTTTTGCCGGGATGTAGCTCAGCGGCACAGCGCCTGCCCGGCAAGCGCAAGGCCCGGAGTTCAATTCCTGGTACCAAAAAAGCAAATAGTAAAATAAACATAAATAAATAACAGACCCAAAAAATTCAATTTTCTGCAGCACTGGGGATCAAACCCAGGGTTTTACAGGTGCCGGGTGAGGGCTGAGTCTCTGAACAACACCCCTAGCTGCACATTTTAGCCGTAGTGTGGACGTGGATTTGCAAATACTTCAAGACCCTGCCCTCAGTTTTCGGGTGTGGACTGAGAATTGCTGGATCCTCTAGCAACGCTCGTTGTAATTTTTTTGAGGGAGCCTCCATTCTGTTGTCCACAGCGGCTTCACGGAGCACAAGGGCCCTGCTTTCTTCACAATCCAGCGACACTTGTTTCCTGGCTTTGTTTCTTTCTGATATAATAGCCATCCCACTGGGCATGGAGTGGTGGCTCGTGGTGGCTTTGATTTGTATTTCCCCAGTGATTCATGGCACTTAATATCTTTTCACGTGTGATCAGGCCATCTGTATATCTGCTTCAGAAAAATGTGTGTTTGGGTCCTTTGCTCACTTTTTAATTGGACTGTTTGTTTTCTGTGGTTGAGCTGTACGAGTTTTTCCGTTTTTCTTTGGATAGTAATCCCTTATCAGATAAATGATTCACAAATATTTTCTGCCATTGCGTGGGCTGCCTTTCCATTCTGTTGTGAGCGCCTGGTCTCTACCTGAAGTACGCCCAGCCAGCGCCTGGTACAGAAGCAATCAAACCTGATTCCCTTGCTTGCTGGGACTCGATGGGACCTGGGAGTCCCCAGCACTCAAAGAACAGCAGGGCAGAGTGAATCCTCAGTCAGGCAGTCACTCTGCAAGCACTAATACAGGGGGACAGGAGATGAGGGTACAGTGTACACTGCACAGTCCGGTTCATACATTGCAAGGTCCAGCTGGCAGCTGATAATGGAAACAACTTGCCAGTTTCCTTAAGCAAGTACCCTCACCCTAGGAGAGATGGACAAGGCCACTCAGGGCCACAGGTTAGGCTTTGGCATAGGAGAGGCCCGAGTGCCACTGCTAGCTAGGCTGTTTCTCCCTATCTAGGCAACCTCAGACCTGCGATGCATAAGTCTGACGCTCTCTTTTCCTCACCTGTACCAGGCCCTCAGTCACCGGTCCTTGTGAGACCTGGCAGCAGTGAATGTCCCCACTCGCCCAGCATGCGGGGGCGTGCCCTGTGATTTGGGGGTTGGCAGGAGGGCAGGCCCTCTCCCTTAGGGGCTGTGCTCTTTGTCCACAGTGGGACTCCATCAACGAGGTGGACGAGTCCTTCCATCCCATCCACACCTATCAGGTGTGCAACGTCATGAGCCCCAACCAGAACAACTGGCTGCGCACCAGCTGGGTGCCCCGAGATGGCGCTCGCAGGGTCTACGCCGAGATCAAGTTCACGCTGCGTGACTGCAACAGCATGCCCGGCGTGCTGGGCACCTGCAAGGAGACCTTCAACCTCTACTACCTGGAGTCCGACCGCGACCTGGGTGCCAGCACGCAGGAAAGCCAGTTCCTTAAGATCGACACCATCGCGGCCGACGAGAGCTTCACCGGCGCTGACCTGGGCGTGCGGCGGCTCAAGCTCAACACGGAGGTGCGTGGCGTGGGGCCCCTCAGCAAGCGCGGCTTCTACCTGGCCTTCCAGGACATCGGGGCCTGCCTCGCCATCCTCTCTCTCCGCATCTACTACAAGAAGTGCCCCGCTATGGTGCGCAACCTGGCGGCCTTCTCGGAGGCGGTGACCGGGGCCGACTCGTCCTCGCTGGTGGAGGTGCGCGGCCAGTGCGTGCGGCACTCGGAGGAGCGGGACACGCCCAAGATGTACTGCAGCGCCGAGGGCGAGTGGCTGGTGCCCATCGGCAAGTGCGTGTGCAGCGCCGGCTACGAGGAGCAGCGGGATGCCTGCGTGGGTGAGCGCGCCCCGCGGCGGTGGGCCGGCCTGGGCGGGACTTCCGGGGAGGGGCGGGGACAGCATCGTCTGCAAGCAGGGGGCGCATCTGGGGGGTGGGGGAGCTGGAAGGCTGCCTTTCAGTGCTCCAGGCCGGTTCTGTGCCCGAGGGAAGGGGAGGTGGGAGACAGACACTGGACGGTGTGGGGCAGAGCTGAGGGTATCTGTGCGCCTGGGTGTGTGCCTCAGCCAAGGAACGGTGCCACGGTGCCATGGTACCACGGCTGGCTGCGGGGTCAGGCATTGTTGTAGGCTCTTTGCATGATTTAAACCGTTTAATCCCGTGGAAAGTAGGAACTGTTATTATCTGGGTTTTAAAGATAAAGAGACTGAAGCATTGAGAGGCTAAGTAACTTGTCCAAAGTCACACAGCTAGCGAGCAGCCAAACTACGATTTCTACCCACGAAGTCTGAATATAGGGTCTGGGCTGGAAATTGCTAAAGTTCTAGGTAGTGGAGTGGAGGGACGTGGACCAGGGCCCTGGGTGGATGTGTGCAGGTAGGGGGCACTGTGAAGGTGTCCAGCAGGGATGTCTAGGGGAGCAGTCCAGCTGGGTTCGTGTTTGGGGGAAATTGCCAGGTCCTGCTGAGGATTTTTGAGGGTCCACATCTTGTACCAGTGTGTGCCGTGGTTGAACTTGGGTGCACCTATGTCAAGCCTGGAAGCAGGTGTGTGCTTGGGGGAACCCAGACCCCAGGCAGCGTGCATGCCTCTGTGTGTGGGGGAATCACCAGGCACCCTGAGAGCAGAGGACCTGTGGGTAGACAGCTGGTATCCAGCTGGCTCAGGATACGGCCTGGTTTTCCTGCCAATCCTTTGGGCACCCCCACGTAGCCGCTCAGCCACCAGGCACAGGGAAACCTGGCTGTGGAGCCCCTTGATTTCCTGGAGCAGAAAAGGTATAGAAGAGGACATGGTCCCATGTGGGGATCAAGAGAGATTAACATGCCTATAATCCCAGCTCTTTGGGAGGCTGAGGCAGGAGGGTGGCAAGTTAGACCCCAGCTTGGACAACTTAAAGTTGATGAGACACTGTCTCAAAATTTAAAAAGTGCTGGGAGAGGTAGAGAGAGAGAAAAAGAGAAAGAGGGAGACAGGGTAGGGGGAAGAGAGAGGGCGAGCCGGGATACATACTATAGCCTGTCTCTAACATCCTCTGTGAAATCTGGGACTGAGTCCCAGCAAGCACTAGGAATGTCCTCCTTGCCCTCTACTCTACGGAACAGGGCCTGGGGACTGCAGTTAGGGGCAGGGGACTCCAGCCTCCCTGCTCTGCTCCTGACAGGAAGACAGATTTCCTCCGTGCTGTTGGGACTGAGCAAGGCGGAGACTGGACCATCAGGCCACACACAGGCCCGTCTGTACCCAGCCGTGTCCAGCTGGGAGTCGTCTTGCGTAAAGACAACTTCTCCGTGGCCAGCTCTTCCTGTTTTCAGGCTTTCTGGCTTTCCCAAGAAACCTTTCTTCACGCTGCTGCAGCCTTTGCCTGTCCCACAGCCTAAGCCCCGAAGTGCCTGTTTCTGGATTTGTTTTGTGCTCTGTGGCTGTTGTCTAGGCTACTGGCCTCTTGTGGTCTTTATCACAGACATGCTGTGGCACCGACCACAAACATCCCTGTCGCCTTTGCAGTTTATAGGGAGATGCCTCACACAGGTTCACTGATCATTGTAACAAGGCAAAGATTATGATTCCATTTTACAGGAGGGGAAACTGAGGCACAAGATGTGGTACCACCTGCCTGGGTCTCCCTGGGGCTCTCACTGTGTGAGAGGTGGAACAGGAACCTGCAGTCAGAGCTCTCTTTCTCTGCGCAGGTGAAGGATTTTGGCCTTGTCCCGTCCTGTGTCTGGCTATTTTCTGTGCCAGACAGATTTCAGATGTCTGCCATGTGCAGGACTTTTGTGAATAGTCTCATTTATTAGGTCGGTTATCCACTCTGTTGAGCATCTGCAGCCTGGACCCGTCTCCCACCTCTGCAGGGCTTCCTGAGCCCACCCCTGACACTCTGCCCACAGGCTGGTGGGGCTCAGGGCACACAGAATAAAGCGCTGGATTATTTATGCTCCCTTCCCTGGCAACTTCAGAGCTGGAGGTGGTGTTGACCTTGAGCAGTGTACACTGGCCCACCTGATGTCACTTCTGACACTGAACCTGTCACTAACTCTGCGTGTAACCTGGCAGGTGGACAGTGGGCTTGGAAGAAGGTCTGGTGGACAGAGGAAGCCGTTCGGGCCTCTGGAGCCTGACAGCCTGGGATCAGATCCCTACACTGCTCTAAGGGGAGGGCCTCAGTGGCTCTCGTGCACACTGGGACTACAACACCTTTCTGAGAGGCCGTCCTAAGGATGAGAAGCCCTGTGAACTCCCCAGAGTGAGGGGCTCCCTGCTGCAGGTCCACAGCACACCAGAGGTAGGAAAGTCCAGGGAAGGAGCAACAGGACATCCCGAGGCTGGGGGAGGCCAAGGCCAGGCCCACTTCCTGGCGCTGGCCCATTAATAAAAAAGAAGGAAATGCCAAGGCTGGGTTAGGGAATGGCAGCGTATTTTGAATTTTGCATTTAAATCCTAATACAACATAATTATGCCAGTTGCAAGATAATTACAGGTTTTATAAAATACAGTAATTCATAGTGCACTACAAGCAGAACAATTCAGGAAGGAATGCTAGTTTGAAGTCACACAAGGAAGGAACTTTTGCAGGCCTGTCGGTGGACTTCTGTCACTGTGTCAGCACATTTGGAAGGAGCAGCACAGGTCCCAGGCGGAGGCCTGCAGGTGGAGCTGGGCCTGGCAGCCCCTCTGTGTCCCCTTCTTCACCTCACTCAAAGCCCCAGCACTTCCCCAGTGGGCAGCCCGAGAGTGGGGAGGATCCAGCCCAAGCAGAAGCTGGGGACACCCCGGGGACCATCCTGGCCACGTAAGGCAGCCCCTCCACCCTTCCCAGAGCCTGTCTTCAGGAGCCCTCTGGAAGCCTTTGGGCTCTGGCCAGTCTGAGGACCTGCTGCCCATGATCTCTGAGCAGATGGTGGAGAAGATGGGCTGGGAGGGGGTGCTGGCTCACCCACCCCTGGACCCTTCCTTCTAGCAACAAGAGAAGGGACCTTCAGCCAGAGCCAGGGCCAGTACCTTTCTTTCTCTTGCCTTGGGCTTCTATTCTCTCAGCTGTGCTCAGAGCCCCCCATAAAGTGTCACAGATGGAGGCAGTGAAGCCCTGAGGAGAAGGAACCTCAAGTCACATAGTTCTGCGGGGGCCTTGCTGAGATTGCACCAGAGAGGTAAAGTGACCAGGCCAGGGCTGCACAGCAAGGAGTGGTTGATGGCATCTCGAATCTCCCAGCTCTCCAACCAGAAAGCTCCCCACACTGCCGGGGCCTGACCCAGTGACCTCCCCTAGCACCTGGCCACTCTCCACACATCCCATGGCTCTTCCAGAAAGGGCAGGGACTCTCAGCCTCCCCGCATGGAGCACAGTCTGAAGTCTGAAGTCCCTGCTGCCATTTTTCCTGTCACCTGGACACAGAATATAAATCACCCTCTGCGGCCCTAATCATCTTTCTATAAATATCAGAGCCTCATTTCGGAGGGGAGCACGAACAAAGACATCCTTTGCCTTCCTGACTGTGTTTAAAATCTGATTTAGAATTAATTTCCTTTGGTCGTCCACAGGCGGACACCTTATTTGTCAAATCTCAAGCTCTTTGCAGGGGACAGCAGAGAGGTGCCCAGGGCCACGGGCAGCTGTCGGCCTGACAGGCGGCCTGGGCAAGGTGCCCTCGGCAGGGGCAGGAGCCCCTCCTGGCCCAGGGCCCGGTGTGTGGGCCACACAGACTCCGGAAGCATCACGGGTCGGCAGCAGGGCCAGGCCCCGGCCCAGAGCTATTCCATCTGTCTTAGCCTTGAATTCCCAGCCCAGCCACCAGGTCTCGGGGCTCCCTGAGGCCTGGTGATTAGTATTCTTATTAAAGATTATTTTATTTTCATTGCGTGGATTAATCTGGCCTTGACACGGTATAGCCATATGGGTATTAGCTGAGTGTGTGAGAACTGCCGACTGGCAGGCGACAGAATGAAAGAGCCACCTCTAAGCTCAGGGGAGGACATTGCAAGGTGAGAGGGGGGACAGGAGGCAGCAGTGTCCCAGCCTGGCTCTGTGTCCTGGCTCAGCTGAACCCAGGAACCCTGCAAGGCGCTGAAGCTCTGGAAGCAGCTTCCTCTCCAGCCCAGCAGTCACACTGAGGTCAGCTGCATCGGACCAACCATAGCAGTGGGTGCTGGGCACTGCCCCCCACCCCCGCCCAGATCCGCCCGTCTTCTCTCCTGGGCTCCCTTGGAGTGGGGGTGGGGTGCCACAAAACTGGGGTGCGTTTTCCCCACCCCAGCAGCTGTTTAACCCCTTGTAGCTCCTTAGGCCCCATCTCCAAAGCCACTTAGGGGGTTGCTGTCCCTCCCGATGCCAGGTTTTCTCTCAAGTTTGTAGAATTTTAGAAATTAACTCGGCTTTGGCTATTATAATAAAGAGATACAATCAACATGCAAAGAAGAAATGCCGTGAAGTGATGTTTGCAAGTAAAACTCTGTGGCACGGAGGCTTCCTGGATGGTATTTTGGAGTGGAACCCCAGTGAGCTTCCTGCTGCCCCCACTGTGAGGGACTTTGGTTCTGAGGGTGCCCTGGGCACTGCCTGGCTGGGTGGAACTACCTGGGGGCCCTGGGGTCACTCTCTGCCCAGGGCAGACAGTGATGGGGGCCTCTCATCTGGAAAACTCCAACAGTGTTAAGCAGCGTCTGCTCTGAGCAGCCTGTGTCGGTGCTGGTGACTTGGAGATGAGCCAGGATCTGCCCACAGGGTCTGCTCCTAGTCCAGGAGGAGAGTGAGACACACAGAATGTGCGACAGTAGGGACTGCAGCACAGGGAGGGGCATGGTGGCTTCAGGGTGTGTATGTTCAGTGCCTGAGTGTGTATGTGTATGTCATGGAGAGGCCCAGGGCTGCTGCAATGAAGGATTGGCTAAAAATAATACTGAAGGAGGAATTCAACATGTAGACAAAAGTGAAATACCATTTCAGGAAGAAGGCATGTCACATGCAAAGGTCCTGAGGCAGGAAGCATCCTGCTGCCAGTGGTTTAGTTAGGGCTCAGGACAGGGGTGAAAAAAGCTGCAAGTAAGTTTTGCACCAGTTGGTAGGCCTTTGGATGCCAGATTTTTCTTGTCAGGCAGAAAGTCCCCGAAGGGCTAAGCAAACAAGAACAGAGTAAGATGCACTTCTTAGAGATCCCTTCAACCTATGGTGTCTCTGCTGCCTGCGTGGCTGGCTTGTTATTCTGCAGGTTACAACTCAGCCTCCCCTGTTTCCTTGGGGAGGTAGCTCCTGCAGGCATCCTCTGTTTCACTGCTGGACACAATGGCAGCTTTGTTAACTGGGTGTGGAGGCCCCGGGAGTCCTGTTCAGGGCTGTGTCTCAGAGCCCAGAGCAGCCTGGTCGTGGGCCAAGCACCTGATAGAGGAGCAGGTGACTGATCTTGCTGGCGAGCTGGGAGGTGCCCAGTAGGGAGAGCTGGAGGCTGCAGGCCTCATCCAGGTGAGAGAGAAAGCAGGCGACAGTGGCTGGTGCGAGGTCCCTGGCGGCAGTGAGGTGGCAGGGATGGTGTGGGTCTGGCGGGGGAGAAGCCTGTGTCCCATCCGGTCAGCTCTCTTGAGGAGCTTGGCCTTGGCTGGCCCTTCACACTGGGCTGGACATGGGGTGGGAAGGCCTGTTGTAGGAGGAGTTGCGGAGTTTGGAGTAGCTCACTGCTCACTTCGGGGTTGTGACTTAGGAATCAGGGCCCCAGCCCAGCTCTGCTCTCATACAGACCCTTTCTGGGCTTCAGTCTTTTCATCTGTAAATGTGGGGAAGCTTGGGTAATGCTGTCCCTCTGGGGGTCCCACGGAGAGCTGTCCCGCAGCCTGCTTACCTGCAGCTGCCTTCTCTCTCACAGCCTGCGAGCTGGGCTTCTATAAATCAGCCCCCGGGGACCAGCTGTGCGCCCGATGTCCCCTACACAGCCACTCTGCAGCCCCTGCTGCCCAGACCTGCCGCTGTGACCTCAGCTACTACCGCGCAGCCCTGGACCCGCCCTCCGCAGCCTGCACCCGTAAGTACTGCACCAGGCCCAGCACCCTGGAGCCGCAGCCTGGGCTGGCAGCCATACCAGGTCTGTGGGTAGTGCAGGGCAGGGTCCTGTGGGGCCAACGCCCGGTCTGAGGTTGACAGGACGGTGACTCCTTAACAGTGGCCCTGACCACTCTGGACTCCCAGTTTTTTGTCATGGGTCACCTGCTGTCTCTCTAGGAAATTCTCTCCCTCCTGCCCTTGGTTTCTCCTTGCCAATCTAGAGGGCAGATGTCTTCCCAGCACAGAGCAGCGTGGTCATCTTCTGATCCTGACATCCTAGTGATTGAGAGCAAGCCAGGTTTTGACCTGTGGGTGCAGGGGACTCAGCAGCACCTTGTCACCATCATCCTAGATGGACCATTGGAACTGTTGTGTGCTGGGTGCTGCCTGTGTGTGTGGTACATGTATGAGTGTGTGCAAGGAGTGTGTGTGTGTGTGTGTGAGTCTGTGTGTGCTCCAGGATACCACAGGGATGGTGTGACTGTGTCCAGTGAAGACCTCTGTGCAGCTTTGTACCCCTGAGTGCGCAGTGTGCTCATGTAAAGGATTTTTGGGGGCGTTACATGGATGTCAGGATACCTGGAGGGGGCTCAGACGCTGGAGCATGTGTCTGGTGAGCTCAGCAGGTACTGCGTGTGTGTGCACGCCAGGCTTTGCAAGGCCTAGAGAGCAGGTGCGGGTGCTGTGTTCTTGAGAGGACTTGGGGATTCCATCGGCTGCCTGCCTGTGACTGTCTTGGTGGGCTGTGTTGTGGCTCCTCCATCCTGTCCTTCCCTTTCCCCACAGTAGCTGCCCACAGCCCACCCTAGCCTGGAGCTACGGCCCACGAAAAGCACCTCACTTCCCTATCCTGGCTTTGCAGCCCCATCGCTCCCCAGCCTCAGGCCCCCTGCATAGTCCTGTGAGGGCACAGTGCATTCACACCTGGTGTGCCAGCCACGCGCATGTGCCCTCCTGCCCTCCACTGTTCTGGCCAGACCTGTGCGGTGTCCCCATATGGGACCCGTCAGGCAAAAAAGACAGCATGAGAGGGCGAGAGCGTGGCTCCTCAGGCAGGGTGAGCCCGGCTCTCAGTGGTAGGCACTTGTGCACAGCTGGCTGGACTCTAGTCTCTTTCCAAACCCTGTAATTCAGTGCCTGAAGATCCTAAATATCCTGAGACTGTAAAAGCCTGGGCTTTTAGTATTCCACACCCTCCCGATGGCAAACACGTCTTCTCTGCAGAATGTTAGAGCCTGTGATTCTGAGATCCTGCAGTTCTGGTTTCTGAAGACCTCACAATTCCTGCCTAGGAATCTGAGAATTAGGATTCTGAAGTCCAGGCTCCTCATTCCCCCCAAGTCCTCCCAGCTCCTCCCCACCGGGACCACTGTTGGCCCCATCCCATGATCTGCCCAACAAGCTGGCCGCCTCTCTATGCAAAGTCTTCGTGCAGCCCAGACGGGTTGGGGTGGGGCCGCTTGGCATATTTAGCTGTTGGGGGACATATGAGGGACTTCCTGGGCTCCACTTTATGCCATGACAAGTGCCTAGTGACAGTTTACATTAAACCTAAAACAGACGGTAAGGAATGCATGGTGGGGACAAATAGCCAGGAAAGCAGGCTGCTCTGAGCACCCCAGACTGAGCGTCTCCCTCCAGGTCTGGGTGAAAGCTATGGGTCCTGCTTGGTGCTGGAGCTTCAGTTTCTGGGCCCAGCCCCTGACACCAGTCTGATGGCAGAGACACAGCCTCTGTCCTCAGGGAGCTTCTAAAGGACAGAGTATACGTGACTTTATTCTTAAGGAGCTCTGTGTGTGATGGTGCCTTTCCTGTGGGGAACTCCTGGCCCAAGTGCCAGGAGAGTTCTCTAGTGGAGAGACTGGACAAGCCCAGAGAAATACCTTTCTCCCCTCTGTCGTCCTCTGTCCCCCAGGGCCACCCTCAGCACCGGTGAATCTGATCTCCAGTGTGAATGGGACTTCTGTGACCCTGGAGTGGGCCCCTCCCCTGGACCCAGGTGGCCGCAGTGACATCACCTATAATGCTGTGTGCCGCCGCTGCCCATGGACACTGAGCCGCTGTGAGGCATGTGGGAGCGGCACCCGCTTCGTGCCACAGCAGAAGAGCCTGGTGCAGGCCAGCCTGTTGGTGGCCAACCTGCTGGCTCACACCAACTACTCCTTCTGGATCGAGGCTGTCAACGGTGTGTCTGACCTGAGCCCCGAGCCCCGCCAGGCTGCCGTGGTCAACATCACTACGAACCAGGCAGGTATGTGGAGATGTGCCAGCCCCAGCCTCCCAGGCTCAGGTCAGGGTGATACTTGGTCTTGCTGTGGGCTTGGGGCAAGCAGGTGCCTTTCTGGGTCCTGCCTTCCCTACCAGGACCCAGAGCTAAGGGCAATTCATGCCCTTAGAAATGTAAAACATGATCCAGACATGGTAATCCCAGTACTCAGTAATGTAATCCCAGTACCCAGTACTGTAATCCCAGTACTCAGAGGCTGTGGCAGAGAGACCATAACTTCAAGCTTAGCCTGGGCTACTTAGGGACTTAGCAAGACCCTGCCTCAAAATTAAAATCAAGCAAAGAGTTAGAATCGCTTTGATGATCATTTTCCAGCGCAGCTGCTGTGGCTGCCCCTGGGATGGCTCTGGTCGCACTGGTTTAGCCCTCAGCCATTTATCTGCTGCTAGCTGGCCACTGGGCAGAATTCAGCCCCTGGAAGCTCTTTCTTTCCAAACTCTGGTGGGACCTTCCTGTTTACAGTGACCACTTGATCTAAGAGACCACCGAGGGCAGCTTCCCTATGAACAGCCACCCTTGATGTGCCTAGGACCCCTCAAGCTCCTCCCAGCTCTGCAGCTCCACTTGGACACTGATGGAGAAGCCGTGGCCCGGAAAGCTGCCCGGTGTTGTCCACATAGGAAGTAGCAGTGGACACTTGCACCCAGGTCTCCACATTCCCTGTAAAGCAGCCTCCTCTCTGAGTCCAGGCTGTCCCTCCTGATACCCCAGCCTCACCCATCTTAGTGACTTGCTTTGTCACTGGGACACAACACCCACAGATTAAAGGAGGAGAGGTTCATTGTGGCTCACATCTTTAGTCTGATTGTCCACTAGGACAGCATGGCAGGGGGGCACAGTGGAGGAAAAGCTGCTCATATCATACAGCCAGGAAGCAGAGCGGAGAGGAGCCAGGCAAAGAGCAACCCTTCCAGGCCACACCTCCAGTGGCCCACCTCTAGCCAGGCCCTACCTCCTAACAGCAAGTCAGTCTGCACCCCCAATTCAGTCATCTTCCTAAAGCCACACCTCTGAGCACGTGAGGCTTTGGGGGACATTCTCGATATAAACAGGAATACCTCCCCGTGAGATCCCGCCACTAACAGTGCTTGGAGTTTGGCTCTGTGCTAGGTTGCCAGCACCACTGGGACGCAGACCTGCATACTGGTGCTCAGAGCCCTCCTCCTGCTGTCCACAGGGCCACTGAGAAAGGAGGCTGGTAGGCGGGGCGGAAGGAAGAGCAGAACCCTGCAGCATTAGCATCCAGTGCGCCCCTTCTTACAAGGACAACCACAGCCCCCTGAACCTCACTCTTTCCTGCCACCCAGCCCTTCCTCTTCCCTGAGAACCTCCTGGACGAGGCAGCTCTGCTGGGCCCACTGTACCCGCTAGCTCCCTGGAGGGCCCGCTGGCAGCAACCCTGCCAGGCGCCTCTCCTCAGCCACTCTCAGCACCCTGGGTGCATGGAATGGGTGCTTCCCCCCAACTTTTTTTGGCCTCAGTGTGTCTTCCTCTTGCTTTCATATGCCCACTGCACCCACTTTCCACCTCCGTCTGGCCTGTGCATCTCCATCTGTGCAAGTCCCCCTTCTTCTCAACCTGGCTGCAAGGCCTGGGGTCCCCAGGCACGTCCTGGGCCCTCCTCTCTCATGTGCCCAGAGCTATCTCTGCAAGGTGATCCCACCTTCATACCAACAGCCCCAGCTGCAGACCTGTCAGGGGGACCCAGTGCACACTCCTGTCTCCACTCCGAGTGGCACGCAAACCGCACCCCACCTTACACCTCCCACAGGGCCTGGTCTTAGGACAGGGCACCATTGGCCAACAGGCTACTCAAGCCCCACGATGGCACATCGTCCTCTGTAAGTCTCAGGGGCTCTCCTGCACAGCAATCACCTCCACTCCATGCTCAGCACTTTCTGGTCCATGCCCCTCTCATGTGTTGTCTGGACCACTCACGCGCCCCTCTGCCTCATCCCATGAATGGGTCCGACGCATGCCACACCTTGAGTAAACTGTAAAAGTGTAAGTGAAGCCAGACACAGCTAAAGAGGAAGCTGAGGCAGGAGAATTGCAATTGGAGACCATCCTGGCTCTGCAGGGCCAATTTAATGACCCAGTCTTAAAGTGTTTTAAAAAGCTCTGGGGATGTAGCTCAGTCAGAGCCCTTGCCCAGCATGTACAAGGCCCTGGGCTCTTAAATGGCTTCAGACTGAGAGCACATTCACTTTGCCATGTAGGCCTACCTGGCTCAGTACTTCCTGGGATACTGGCTGTGAACGCTGAGGCCTCCTTGCCACAGGGCTTCTCCTGCTCAGGGTTTCTCCTGAGCTGGAGTCTCTCACTTTTGTCTTTACTGTAGCAGAGATTTGCCCCTGTGTAACCCAGAGACAGCCAGTGACTTGACTGGGTGAGGTCCCTGCTAATGAGAGAGGGAGCCCAGTTGTGAGCCCACACCCATCCCAGGCAGGCCCCCAGCCCCCCAGCACAGTTCTGCAGTTGCTTCTTGGTTTTCCAAATACAGAGTCATCCAGCAGCATTTATCTGGCACCTCCTTGTGCAGTCCCTGCCTTCAGGGAGCTCCCAAAAATAGTGGGCAGACAGGACGGGGAGGAACTGGCCAGGTGGGGCAGAGTCAGAAGGGACGGGAGGTGTGAGAGAGAGGGCTGGACAGGGCTGCAGGCAGCGGGCAGTTTTTTCAGTCTGGCCTTGGCAGACTATACGCAACACCTTCCTTCGGGAAAACAGGTAGGGGTGGAGGATGGGTGAGACGAGCTGGGGGACCAGCTGTGCCAGACAACTGTTGAGCTCAGGTGGGAGAAATCCAGAGCATCCACTGCAGCCAGGCCTGACCAGATGAAGCCCACCGCGCATCGCCGACGCGGGCAGGCTGTGCAGACCCGGGACTGACGCAGTCCCTGGCTGTGCGGTGGAGACAGGGGCGCTGGCTCCCCGGGTCCGGGAAGGGGTGATCAGCAGCTAGGATCCTGGGAGGTGGGGACGGAGAAAAGGGCCCGGGCAGAGCCCCCCACCCACCGGCCGCGGCTCCCCAGCCCCGTCGCAGGTGGTGGCCATCAGGCAGGAGCGCGCCGGGCAGACCAGCGTGTCGCTGCTGTGGCAGGAGCCCGAGCAGCCCAACGGGATCATCCTGGAGTACGAGATCAAGTACTACGAGAAGGTAGCGGGCGGCCGGGGCGGGCGGGCGGCGGGGCGGGGCCTCGCTGACCACGCCCCCTCCGCAGGACAAGGAGACGCAGAGCTACTCCACGCTCAAGGCGGTCACCACGCGCGCCACCGTGTCGGGCCTCAAGCCGGGCACGCGCTATGTGTTCCAGGTGCGAGCGCGCACCTCGGCGGGCTGCGGCCGCTTCAGCCAGGCCATGGAGGTGGAGACCGGGAAACCCCGTGAGTGCAAGGGCGGGGCGGGAAAGGGGGCGGGGCTAAAGGGGGCGGTGCCACGCAGGGGTCCTGCCCCGAAGGGCGCTGCTGTCTGTGCTTTTGCTGGGAGGAAATCGAGGCTCAGAGAAGGATGGGTGCTTGCCCGAGGCCACACAGAAGGCCACAGCTCGTTCCCCCTGCTGGGTTTTCCAAAGCATCACTGAGCATCACAAGCCTGTGATGTCTCTTGCCAGGGCCAGGGCACCACTTAAAACGTCCAGAGGCAACTCTGAGATGGTGCTGCCGGTGTTCCCAGTTTAGGAGGAGGTAGAGTCAAAGCAGTAATAGTTTGTCCAAGGTCACAGGGCATTAGAACTTGGTAGGTCTGGGGTCCCAGGTCCAGGTCCTTCTCTTGTGACATCCTGCAGCCAACCCCCAAGGAGTCCACAGATGTGATCTGGGGCCAGCAGCATCAAGTTACCTCAGGGCCCCAACCCTTCGGGTCATGGGGGCCCCACGTGGGGTTTGTACATCCCTCAAGGTGGCTCTGAGGCACTGGGATCTGGGAAAAGCTGGCTTAGAGGTTTTCTCCTTCCCCACCGTATCCTCCCGCCTCCTGCCACTCCCCTGGTCCCTGGGAGTCCTAATCACCCTGAGAGTGGACGTGGAAATCCTGTCCCTTCTGTCCCATTTACTCAGTAGCCTGGAGAAAATTCCTCGAGGTCTCTGAGCCTCGGTTTTCTCATCTGAAAATGCAGATATTGCTGGGCTCTCCCGGCAGGGCCTTGGGGGGTGGGGGATAAGCCAGGCTTGCATGTGCAGTGCTCAGCTTGCTCCATCTTGGGACTGAGAGTGACAGGCAGGACAGGTGTTTTGGGCTCATCTGTATTCTGCTCAGAGAGGTGAAAGTGACTCTCCCCAGCTTACACAGCTCGGCAGCCGTGGCTCCAGGCACTGGAAAGCCAGGCAGCCCCAGGCACAGGGATTGTGGGGGAAGCTGAAAGGGAATGGGTGGGGGCAGAAGGCTGTATCTTGGCTATGGAGGCTGCCCGCTGGGCCCTGGGGTGCCTGGGCAGGCTGGGAGGGCTGTCGGGTGCCAGGGCCTGAGCAGCCCCCATCTTCACCCCCTGACCTCTCAGGGCCCCGTTATGACACCCGGACCATCGTCTGGATCTGCCTGACGCTCATCACAGGCTTAGTTGTACTTCTTCTCCTTCTCATCTGCAAAAAGAGGTAGGTGGTCCTCGTCCCCCAAGCCCTCTTCTCAAGTGCTGTGCCTCCTGCTTACCCCATCCCCCTCATTTCCAAACACATTGTCTTGTTTAATCTCAGTGATGCTTCAGTGAGGCAGAGATGATATGGCTTCACTTTTCAGGGGGGTAAATTGGGGACCAGAGAGGTTAAATTACTTGCAGAAGTCACACAGTGGGTAGACACCAGAGAGGGGACACCAAGCCTGTCAGAGTGGGACCATGCTCTCAGTCCCTGTCTCCTCTCTCCCACTCTGTTCCAGAGGAAGGTGGAGGTGGAGGTGGAATGGGGCTTAGCATCTCAGACAGGAGAGATCAGAAGGACAATGGAACAGATGGAGAAACCAAGGCCGGGGAAGGGAAGGGGTCCGTCAAAGCCATGCAGTGGAGTGAAGTTGGGGTTGGTTCTGTGTCTTGACGGGGCTTTGTTGTGAGGCTCAGCAGTACTTGAGGGTGTGATGCAGGCTGCAGATTTCTCTGTGACTGTCACAGTTCAGCTGGGTGGGATGAGGGCTGGAAGGTGGAGATTCTCCCCTGCAGCCCTCACAAGGGGACTGAGCTGACCTATCAGAAAAGGGGCTCAAAGAGAGGAGCCCTGACCTGTCTCCTGCTGTGACTGTCCTCACAGGCACTGTGGCTACAGCAAGGCCTTCCAGGACTCTGACGAGGAGAAGATGCACTACCAGAGTGGGCAGGGTGCGTGCAGGGCCCAGGTTTGGGGTGAGGGGTGCCCAGGGGCCCCAGGCAGGGCCAGTGGCCCAGTTCAGGAGGAGATGGGTGCCCACAGGAAAGGCCAGGGCCTCAGAGAGAAATACCAGGTGTCACAGAGACCCGGGACCAGAGGGACAGTCTGCTCCCCTGGGTGACTCCCAGACCCCCTCAAGGATGCAGAAGACCTCTCACCCTCCAGAGAAAGAGTGTGGACGTGTGTACCTACACACTTTGCGTGGGACCTCAGGACATTCACACACTCTTGGACAAGGAGATTTCCTACAAGGAGATTTCCAGGATTTTATAGGGATCAAAGCAAACGTGGGGATACCCCAGGACCCCACTTTTGTGCCCATTAGGATTAGTACTGATTCTCACTGGCTGGGATGCAGGCTCCAAATCCTTCTGACCGGTCTTTCAGGAAACTACTGGCAGTCTGAATTGGCATCTGTGATAAAATCCATTTTTGGCTGTGTCGCTACCTAGAGCAGTTTAGAAAGCTCTCAAGGACTCTAGAAGTGACCATGGAAAACAATAGACACACAGCAACCCAGACACCAGAACTACTCCACAGAGGCCCCATTTTCACCTGCACACATTGGTGGGATACCTACTGTTTGCCATTACATCCAGGGGTTCCCAGAGACACCCTTCTCCCCACCTAAGACTCACCCCCGGCCCAGAGAATGCTGGGAGAGAGAACCCACTGACAGCCCTTCTCCTGGACCCGCTGACAGCCCTTCTCCCCTGGCTCCTCAGCACCCCCGCCTGTCTTCCTGCCCCTGCACCACCCCCCAGGGAAGTTGCCAGAGCCCCAGTTCTATGCAGAACCCCACAACTATGAGGAGCCGGGCCGGGCAGGCCATGGTTTCACGCGGGAGATTGAGGCCTCCAGGATCCACATTGAGAAAATCATTGGTTCAGGTAAGCCGGGGTGTAAGGGGGGCCCAGGAGGGAGAGAGAAACTGAGGGGGAGAGCTGGGGAGAGCAGCAGGGCCCCACTGCCCTCTCCCACCAGTCCTTCTTGGGATGTCCAGGGGAGTCTGGAGAAGTCTGCTATGGGCGGCTGCGGGTGCCGGGGCAGCAGGACGTGCCTGTGGCCATCAAGGCCCTCAAAGCTGGCTACACAGAGAGGCAGCGGCGGGACTTCCTGAGTGAGGCGTCCATCATGGGCCAGTTTGACCACCCCAATATCATCCGTCTGGAAGGCGTCGTCACGCGCGGTAGGTCCCGGGTAAGGGCAGCCTGCAGGGCCCCTCCTGGACAGACGGAGCTCTGAGTCCTCCTCTGGGCCTTCTTCCTGCCCTTGTCCCCTTGGTTCAGGCCCTCGGATGACCCTGCTGGGACTCCTAGGCTCCCTGGGACCCTCAGTGCTAACCCAGCTTCTGGGGTGGGGCATGTTGCTGGGGTTACCAGTGAACAGCCCCGTCCTTTGCCAAAAGCCAACCATCTCCCCTCCACCATCCAGGCCGCTTGGCGATGATCGTGACCGAGTACATGGAGAACGGCTCTCTGGACGCCTTCCTGAGGGTGCGTGTCCAGGCCTCACTGCCCACATGGATCAGACTGGGGGTAGGGAGTCCAGCCAGGGTGATGGGTGACGGTGTGACCCATCGCCCCTGGAACAGGGGGAAACAGGAAGGGTCTTCAGGGCCAGCCATTCAAACGCCTCTCAACCCCAAGTCCTGCTGCTCCATGGGGTCTACCTGCCAGGCCAAAAGGGGTGTCTGTGGGGGTCTAGTGCTGCCTACACCACCACCTTAGAAGAGGTGGCTAGATTCACATCCCTGTCCTGCTGCGTGTCTGCATGGGGTTGTGAGGCCTCTGTTTCTCCTGCAAAATGGAGGCTGTGGCCACCCCACCTGCCTCCCAGTGCTGCCAAGGGTGCACGGGGGCCCTTGGACTGCAGGTGTTCCTGTAAGCAAAAAAGGACTACACACCACTGAAGCAGCCGTCTCCATTCTCAAGTGTCACCCATGCAAGCAGGACACCTGCCCTGCGGCCAGGCCCCTCACTGCCCTCCCCAAAGCCCATGACATGCCATGGCATGCCCCTTTGCAGATCCATGACGGCCAGTTCACCATCATGCAGCTGGTGGGCATGCTCAGAGGTGTGGGTGCCGGCATGCGCTACCTCTCAGACCTGGGCTACATCCATCGAGACCTGGCCGCCCGTAATGTCCTGGTTGATGGTAACCTGGTCTGCAAGGTGTCTGACTTCGGGCTCTCCCGGGTGCTGGAGGATGACCCCAACGCCGCCTACACCACCACGGTACGTGGCCCGCACACTGCCCCAAGAGCCAGATGGCATGGGGGGCTCTCCCAGGACACCTGCGGGCAGCAGCTTCAGGGTCACCTCCAGCCTCTGGGAATCTCCCCGCTGGGACACGGGGACAGTTTTGCCTTCCTTTTCTTGGTCACCGGCTGCCTGGGGAATACAAGGCTGGTTCCAACTGTCACTTCCTCCACGTCACACACAGATTCCACATCTTTCTCTGAAAGCAGCTGTATTCTTGTGTGCTTTGTGGAAGCCTGGGCTTCTCTCACTGTACCTTGGAATTGCCGTGAGCAGGAGCCTGGTACAGCTTCTCCGTTAGCTCTCTCCCACTGGGCCTCTAAGTCAGGTTTCCCCAGAGAAGAGAGGCTGGGACCAAAGAAATTCAGGGGAGAGAGAAGGGAGAGGAGGAGTTTAAAAATGCCCAGGCCTGTTTTCCATACTCCCTTATGGTTCAGACCTTGACCTGTTGACTGGCGTTTACTGAGCAGCTACTGAGTGCTGTGCACTCTGCACAGTGTTCCATCCTGTCTTCACTGTGCTTTGTGAGGTCTGCCCCGCAGGACCGGTGTTTCCAGAAGGCAGGGGCCATGTGTCCCCCCTGGCCTGAGAGATCCCCTGACTCAGGATGACGAAGAAGCTCAGATTCAGCTGCCCAACCCTTTCCTGTCCATCACAGGGCGGGAAGATTCCCATCCGCTGGACAGCTCCAGAGGCCATTGCCTTCAGGACTTTCTCCTCAGCCAGCGACGTGTGGAGTTTCGGCGTGGTCATGTGGGAGGTGCTGGCCTATGGCGAGAGGCCCTACTGGAACATGACCAACCGGGACGTGAGTGCGCCCTCGGGCGGGCAGTGCGCAGGGGCCTGGCGGGAGGCGTGGCCTGAGCCCAGCGCTGCTCTCCCTGCAGGTCATCAGCTCTGTGGAGGAGGGGTACCGGCTGCCCGCACCCATGGGCTGCCCCCGAGCCCTGCACCAGCTCATGCTCGACTGCTGGCACAAAGACCGCACCCAGCGGCCTCGCTTCTCCCACATCGTCAGCGTCCTGGACGCGCTGATTCGCAGCCCTGAGAGTCTCAGAGCCACGGCCACAGCCGGCAGGTGCCTCGCCCCCACTCCAGCACCGGCCCAGAACAAGCCTGGACTTAGTCCACTCCCTGAGTCAGCTTGGGCTGACCTTGGACCAGACCCAGCCTGGGCTCGAACTCTATCCCCCACCTCCCTGGGATCCAACCTTGAGAACCCTCTGCCCACTGCTCAGCTGGGAGGGGGGCTGAGGGTCACCAGTGCCGGGGTCCCCTGGCAGGCCACTAACACAGGGCCCTGTGCATCAGGTGCCCACCCCCTGCCTTCGCCAGGAGCTGCTTTGATCTCCGAGGGGGCGGGGGTGGCGGCGGGGGCCTCACCGTGGGGGACTGGCTGGACTCCATCCGCATGGGCCGGTACCGAGACCACTTCGCCGCCGGCGGTTACTCCTCGCTGGGCATGGTGCTGCGCATGGATGCTCAGTGAGTGAAGGGTGCTGGTGGCAGTGCACATTGCTGGGCGTGGGGTGGGGACAGGGCAGGGGCAGGGCCTGCAGCGGGGCATTTCCAGGGGACAGGCACAGGGCTGTCTTCCTGGCCCCAGACCTCCCCGGTCAGCCTGGTCAGCACTTCACTTCCTCTGCAGGGACGTGCGTGCCCTGGGCATCACTCTCATGGGCCACCAGAAGAAGATCCTGGGCAGCATCCAGACCATGAGGGCCCAGCTGACCAGCACCCAGGGGCCCCGTCGGCACCTATAACTCGGGCATAAGGTCATGCCGGCTATCAGAAGACCAAGTCAGCGGCGGTCAGAACATCCCCAGAGCTCTGCCTGTCCTGCTCTCAGGAGCTAGGGAGGCGAAGTCTCCGCTGCAGTACCTGGAGTCACAAGGGTCACATACCTGGACTGGGCCTTTGGTGCTCAGCATGGCCCGGACAGCTGCCTCCTGGGGCAGAGGGCTTCCTTTCTGCCAGAGCCTTGGGCCTCGACTCACAGAGTCCAACAGAGACATTGCTCACTGCCTCGTGTGTGCGTGCGTGTGTGTGTGTGTGTGTGTGTGTGTGTGTGTGTGTGTGTGTGAGTGTGCAGTGGGGGTGTGATCTCATGAGGTTGCGGGGGGCCATGTGGAAAATGTGTGATCACCTGTGTGTCCACAATCAGGTCCCAGCATGCTGTGCAAGTGTTAGAATGTGTGTGCTTGTCCTTGGGGCTGGAGCCACACACGTGTGACTGGGGCGATCATGAATCAGGAACTCATTCATGTGAGCAAGGAACTCAGTGTGGCACTGCCCAGGTCCCAGCACCTACGGGGACTGAGCAGTGGCTCTTGCTTACCCTCTGGCATGTCTGGAGGTTGGAGCCAGGGGCTGCTTCTGAACCACACCAGCACTGGGCCCGCCCTGGTCCCCGCCTAGGTGAGCCCATCCCCGGCTGTATCTCAGGTCCGGGGCCTCCCGCCAGCTGGGGGGCCACCTGCAGCTTCCACCTGGCTCCCACTGCTGCTCAACAGGAAAACAGGGTTCCTGGCCAGTCCCTCTGGCCACCTTTCTCATAGGCATCAGGGTAGAGCACTCAAGATGCCCTTGGCTGGACTTCGGCTGCCTGGCAGGGGCCAAGGGGCTGGTGACTCCCCTCTGGTTCTGGTGCCCCCTGCAACACCAGGTCTCTTCCAGTGGAAGCCCCTTTGCCAACATCTCACCGCCTAGCCCCACCCCATCCCCACTCCATCCTGCCCCGGGGTCAAGGAATATAAGATCCTAGCCCCACCCGCCATCCTGTACCATGTGAGAAGACCCACCCTGGAGAGAGGGACACCTTACCCAAGGTCACACAGCAACCGAGTTTCAGGGTTGGAGACTCCTGCCTCCCACCCCGGGGCTCGGTTTCCCCAGGCAGCCAGCTGTGGTGGGAAGCAGGGGCCTGGGAAGCACCCCTCCCCGACAGACCCTCCCCTTTACGGCCCACCAGGGTATGTAAATATCTCTTTTCTACCATGTCAGAGTATTTTTTCCTCACTTCTGACAATGCAAAAATGTTCTTCAAAGCACATAAAAAACACGCAGGGTGAGAAAGGCCCATCCCAGGGATGTCTGGCAGGCAGGGCCCAAGGAACCCCCCCATCCCCTGCCAGATCCACAGGGCCACCCAGCTTCCAGCCCCTGCCCTGCTCCTCCCCATAGCCAGCACAGCTACCCCGCGAGTCACCAGCACTGAGCCCCCTTTCCCTTCTGCAATAATTTGGGGAGTCTCAGCCTGTCCAGGTGCCGCGGCCAGCTCTCTCCACCTCTATATATTATATTACTATATAGCCGAGCTGCTCTTCCTTCCTATGGAAGTGGGACACACGGTCAGGACTCGAGCAGGGAGGACCCTGTGTTCCTCCCCACCCCACCCCAGTCTCACCCGGTTTGTGGGCTTGGGATCCTCACAGTTACAGGGGTACATGGGGCTGGCACTAGCTGAAGTGTGGCCCCTGCTCTGAGTGGGTTCCTCTCGGGTCCCAGGGGTCTGCCTCTCAGTGGTCCCCATCCTGAGTCTTGAACTTACCCACAAATAGAATAAATTCTGCCTCATCTTTGCTCATGTCTCATGTTTCCCGTCCCTGCTGGTGGGGAAAGGAGTAATCTTGTTCTCACCGTTTCCTCCTGGGCTCCTTGTGTTTCCCAAGAAGTGAGCAGTGCACCCATGTTACTCATGGGGAGGCTGGATCTCATCTAGGTCAACTTGCCTGAAGTCAAACGTGGGGTTGGGGGATGAATCAAACCCGATTTGCTACACTTAAAGCCTGTGGTCTGCAAGGAGGTTCTGTCCTCTAAGACGCAGATGGCGCTCACCACCACAGTGCAGTCCTTAGAGCTGGACAGTGCCCTCGCCTGAGTCCTGGGGAAGAACACAGCTGTTGATGGAAGAAACTACTCATAGAAACAACTTCCCAGGACCACAGAGCAGGAGGGAAGACAGGGTGAGCAGGTCCACAGTTAGGAAGCTGAGGACCACCTTGGCTCCGGGGTAAAAGCCACAGCTCTGGAGCCAGGGTGGTGGCATTAGAGGTTGGGGGGGGGACACAGGAGCAGAGCAGAGCCAGCTGTGCCCATCAAAGCCCATGACTCGGATCTCTGGGCTGATTCCCCTCGGTAATAGAGGTGACCAGGTAAGGTCAGCAGAGGGAAGTCTTCACCTGGGACTGCCTCACATTGGGAGAGTGGGGATAGAGAAATCACTGGGGCAGAAGGATGTGCCATGTGGCAGAGCCATCACAGCCACCACCACCACCACATAAAGTTAGATCTGTCTGTCATCAAGCCTGCTGTGTTTCCCTTTAGGCTCCAAACTCAGTTCCAGTCCCCTCCTCACAAAGCACCATGCTGTTACCTAAGAGAAAAAAAAAAAAAAAACTGAGAACATCCTGGAGAAGGAAGCATTTTCGTTGGGCACAGAGGATAAGCAGGGTTTGGAGGTTCATTTGGTAGGCAGCCCCGGGTGAGGCACATAATGTGAGGAGATAAAGAACTCAGGCTGGGGGGAACCCCATGTGCGGGGATGGCAGGGGGCACCACTTGCAAAGTTAGCTGTTTCCCTCCAATTTGATCTGCACAATTTACTGCCACTAAAAATCACACTAGAGTTTCCCCTGCAATTTGACAAGGTCATCCCAAAATGTACATGGAATAATAAAGAACTTAGAAGAGCCAAGATGATTTTGAAAAAAGGGGAAGGCGGCCTCACCCTAACAGATACCAAAAGTCATTATGAAGATATAATAATTAAGGTGTTCCATTAGATCCCAGAAATAGACCAACAGATAAAAAAATAATAATGCCCAGGAATAGATCCAAATACATATGAGAGCTTGAACACGACAAAAGCAAGTGTGGTCTAGTTAATGGATGACGTGAGGACCACCAAATTCCCTATGGAAAAAGATAAATTTGAGTCTCTGCTCACACCACTCACACCACTCATACGTTCCAAGATGATTAAAGTCCTAGCTGTAAAAAACAAACTGTAACTTTTTAAAAAGCAGAGCAAAATAACTTTTTGATCTTAGAGTAGAAAACAGGACATAAAGCATAAATAATAAAAGAAAACTGATAAATTATTTCATGAAAAGCAAAAACTTCTATATGACAAAAAGATTTTTAAGCCACACACTCAGTATATGAAACCATTTGAAACCTGTGTATCCAAGAGAGAATTGGTTCCCAAAATAATTTTTTAAAATCCTACCAAGAAGAGCTAAGAGTTTAGATGTGTTGAGTACTTGCCTAGCATGCATAAGGCCTTAAGTGTAATCTTCAGGACCACAAAACTCCAAACAGGCAGTTTTCTCAAAACACTTCAGGCCAATAGGAGAAATGGGTCAGATATGACCAAATGACAGAGGAAGAAATTTAAATGGCAAATAAAGGTATAAAAACGATTCCCAACTAGTGGACAAGGAGATGCAATGTATGTTTTAAACTGGTCAACATAGAAATACATATTAAAATACTAACGAGACCACCATATTACATTAGTCTGATGAGTCCTTAACATTAGTGTTTATGAAAGTGTCAGGAAAATAGCAGTGTTTATAACCTGCAGGTGGGAATGTAGATGGCACAACTACTTTGGAGAGCAATTTGGAAGTGCTTAGCAAATTTTAAGACAAACCATCTATAACCCAGACAACTCCACCACTAACGGTTTCCCTAAGCAGAACCTGGGACAGGGATTCTTTTCTTTCTTTTTTTTTCCCTCCAGAAACAAGGTCTTGCTCTGCTTAAGGCTGGCCTTAAACTCACTATGTAGCCTACACTGGCCTCGAACTCATGGCAATCCTCCTGCCTCAGCCTCCTGAGTGCTGGGTTTACAGGTGTGCCCTGCAGTGCCTGGCTTAGGGATTCTTGAGCAGGTGATTTATTGAGGGACAGCTCTCAGGTGAAAGAGAGCAGCGGGAATACACACAGGGTGGGAGGAGATGCTAAGCAATGATGTGTTCTCAGCTGGCGATTAGCTTCAATCTGCTCCCACAGGGAGCTCAGGAGCATTAACACCAGAGCTGATCTGCCTAGGCAGAGACAGCTCGTATTTTGTATGCCCGTAATAGTCAGTGACTCTGTGGGCTACACAGGGATGGGTGGCATAGCTCCGTGGGTGAGGGCATCTCGTAAGAAGGCAGCAGCTATGACCCCTTAGTGGCCAACACTCCAGCAGCTGGGGGATGAGTCCAGGTGTGGGTAAAGGCACCTGGATGGGGCACAGAGTTCCCTACCACGCCTGGACTACCGTAAATAGGATATTCGCTGCATCTTAGTGTGTACTAGAGAGAAGCCTAACTGCCAGTCATCAGGGAAGCAAACTGCTTCATAAGCACGATGAGGTCATCTGCCACGGTTAAAGCGAGTCCGCGGATCAGCACGCGTCAGCACGGGTGAGATTCCACAATCTAACATGGAGGTTTTTTTTTTTTTAAGGAGCATATTGTTCCGTCATTTTCATATGATAAACCTGAAACAAAAAAATCTTACAGTAGAGCGTACGGGTTTTGATTGCGTGGCGGGGTAATGACAGCACAAAACACGCGAGGGGCGGGCGAACGCAGCTTCAGTCCAACTGTACCTATCAGGTTTCACGGATTTTCCTTTTTAAAAAGTAAAACTTTGAAGCAAATATGGCCAAGCGTTAATTTTCACATTTTATTCATGGTGGACACATCTGGGCCAGTTATATTATTTTCTGGATTTTTTTTTTTTGTATGTTGAAATGCTCTATAATGAAAACGAAGCATATTTCAAAGCCACAGGAAAATAGGGATGAGGGGGAACCCCCTGTACCCCCACTCAATTTTTCTGTGAACTTAAAACTGTTGTAACAAATAAGTTTTGTGAATTTGGTTTTAGATTCACCCGGGAGGGGCCCCCAGGGCCGCCCCCAGCTCCAGGGAGGTTCGCCGAGCCTGCTCTGCAGAAGGCGCGCGGGTGGCGCTGTCCGAGGTGCTGGAGGGCAGGCGCGGGGGGCGGGGCCGGCTCGCAGCAGCCAATCAGCCCTCAGCTCCCTCTCCGACCCCTGCGGAGCCTCCTTGCGGCCCTTCCTGCTTCTTGTCTCTCCCCATAATCCGTTCTCCACAAGCAGCCAAAGGGATCTTTCAAAAGCATAAACGGGATCATGCTATGTCCCCGCTTGCAATCCTCCAAAAGCTTCCTATCAAGCTACAAAAATGTCCAAACCCCTGTACAGGCCGACAACATTCAGCGAAGGCTGCTTCTGTGTGTTCTTCAATCTCCTACCTTCTTCCCCCAGTGGGTGCCCTTGCTTTGGTATTTTGGACCTATCAGCTCTTTGCTTCTCTCTTCCCTGTGTTCCAGAGCTCTTCCGCGTCCCCCAAAGGCTCAGCCACCTGTGAACACCACGGAGAGGCCCCTCACCCGAGCCACTGTCCACGCAGCTGCAGCTACGGATGTCACTTGTTAAAGCCCACTGGCGGAAGTTATGTCACTTAGGTGTGTTTACTCGTTTACTTACCTCCCTACCATTCATTAGACTTTGAAAAGGCAGGGACCTCCTCTCATTTACTCAATGCTTTAACCCTGGCACGTAGCAATAGATATTTGTTGAATGAATACACCAATGTTTACAGCACACCTCTTCTGTGACAAGCCCCATGCTTGGTTTTGTGAATTCCAGAGCAAACAAGATAATCCTGCCCTCAAGATGCTCATGGGCTGGAGAGAACAGAGGAGCTAAATCACAAAATCAGAATGTTGGGATAATCCCCTTTGCTCTTATTATTAGAATTAGAGGACTTAGAGTCAGCTGACTCTTTGGTCTCTACCCCCTTCTTGTTTCTTAGCTAAACTAATCCAAGCCTGTGCAAAGAGAGACAAAGCCTCACCCAACTTCACTCAGCACTAGAGGCGTAGTTTGTGTCCAAGACTAGGTCACCTAACCCCTTGTAGTTCACATTTAAAAGAAAGCCCTTGAACAAGCATTGGGCCCACTTCTACCCCCTAGCTCGTCCAGTCACCCCTAGGACAGTAGATTCCCCCAGGGAGAGTGTGAGGGCAAAAGGAGAACCTCATGCCTGGGGCTCCTTCGGCTTTTATCAAACACGGCATCTGTGCTGTCTCCCTGCTCTGCAGCAAGCTTTGCTGTCCTTGGACCTTTTATGAGACCCCTGGGAGATGACTCTCTGGACCACTCAGACCTTCCCAGCCTGGCAAGGAATATTGCCAGGAACCTGGCAATTGGAGGAATCTGGAAAAGAGGTGTCCAAAAGCCCCCAGTGATCATTTCTTATCTGGCCTGTCTCTGAGTCCATCTGTTCTTACTGCCCAGCTATTCCACAGGGAAACCCCGCCCCAGCCACAGAAAGGCAGATGCAGGCACATAATATCCTCTGCCCTTTCCATGCCAGCGCACTGGTTTGTTCCCTGAAAGGTGTTCTTCCTTCCCCTTCTGCCCTGTGCTAATCCCAGCTGACACTGCAGACCTCAGCCTCTGTGACCTCTCACCTAACTTTGAGCTAGACACTCTCCTCCCTGAGACCCCACAGACCTCTGGGGTTCCCAGCTGAAGCACTCACATCGCACTGGGGGAG